TCTGCAAACAAGTTGCATTTATTAAGGATAATGCACTCACCCTCGCAGCCAGTGTCTTGTCGGTTTAGATGACTGTGTTACCCCAGAGATGATTTCATCCCAGCCCAGGGAAGAGAAACCTGATGTGGCTTTGCCCGTGCGGCCACTTTGAGGAACTTCACGATCCAGGAGCTTCTGAAACATTAGATGTCACAGCTCAGGGACAGCTAGGATGACTCCCACCGCTATCTGAAGTCCTGGTGCTGCAGCCTGCAGCCTTCCACCAAGAGGGTGATGTGGTCCTTTCAGAGGCGCCCTCGGGTGTTTGGGGATGGTGGAATCTCATCACACACACCCCTAAGACACCTGAGGGTCACTGCCCCATACTGAGGTGGCAGTCCTGCCTCTGGTGCAAGGTTCACGCTAGGTCCTTTAAAAGCACCAAGCTGTGCACATCCCAGCACACCATGCACTGTGGCCACCTGGGAGGGCATGTCCCCTGCTGGACATGAGGCTGGCCTGCTGGCAGCCCTGTCTTAGCCAGGTTTTCACTGCTGTGAGGAGACACTGGGACTCCTTTATAAAGGAAAACATTTCCTCGGGCTGGCTTAGCCTGCAGGGGTTTAGTCCATTGTCACCACTGCGGGAAGCACGGCAGACACAGGGCTGGAGAGGGAGCTCACGGTTCTACATCTGGGTCTGTAGACAGCAGGAGTGAACTGTGAGCTGAGCCTGGGCTTAAGCAGCTGACACCTCACAGCCTGCCCCCACAATGACGCACTTCCTCCAACAAGGCCACGCCTCCTGATCCTGCCACTCGCTGTGGGCCAAGCACACACACGAGTCTGTGGGGGCATTCCTATTCAGACCACCACAGGCCCCAAACCCTGCCTTGCATTTCAAGCCTCTGCCTCATTCCAACCTTACAAGGAGGTCGCTGCCGCTCCTCTGGGCCCGAACTGAGTGGGGAGGTATCTTGGGGCACTGAGAGGTTTGGGGGTATCTATTGACTTGGGGAGCATCATAAGAAGCTTCTCCAGCAGAGCAAACTGTCTTCTGAGATTTGACGAAGGGAAGAGGTGTCTGTGTTCACATATCCTTCTGGGTGCACAGGCTGCTTGTTTCTAGATTCCTGCAGAGATACCCGAATGCATGAGGTGCACTCAGAGTCACATAGCACAGCTCACTTCCTTTCAGTCACCTCGGAGGGCTCTGAGGAAGTGTCCAGGAGCATCGGAGCCATCACGTAATGCGAGGACGCAGCTGCTCTCTGCACTGGCCGGGGTGGGGCCCAGCCCAGGGCAGCACAAGCCGCAGGGTGCCCGAGGGTCCTTCCCCACAAAGCTGACACCTGTAACAATTCTTTCCCATGTGTGTTCTCTGCCCCAAGATAAAGTGACCGGTCAGATTTTTGTCACTTTAAATCATGGGAAGAGTGAAACAAAAGGATTGAGAGGTAGGAAATTACATGAGAATAGATTCATTCATCTTCATTTTTTTATCAGCTTCGCTGTGGCCAAAAGCAGGTGTTTCAAACTATGAATGAATAGTTTGCATTTTCAGAATTACCAAATTGGATCAACACTAATGGAAAAAACAAAAACCCCACAACCATAGCCAGCCCAGCAGAGCGCCGTTTACAAAAGCTGTTCTGGGAGAGCATTGCGACCAGCAGGCTAGGCTGTGCGAGTTCCCTCCGTTTAGTCATCGCTCTGCAGCCGTCACAGACACTGGAGGGAAATGCAGAGACAGGAAATTGCAGGCTATTTTAAACAGCATGTTTTATTAAACTCACTTGCTCGTGCACTTCACGGCAGGATGTGAGAGTCAAGTGCTCAGAACTTAAGCTTTGCAAGGACTCTTCCTAAGTGAGTTCTCCCGCTAATACACAACGTGCGCCAGGGCCTAGCCGTCTTGAGAACTTCCACGGCAGGCCACGGAGCGCTTCACTTCCGAGAGAGACTTCAGTAATGTGGAGAAAACACACGTCACTCGCAGAATGCAACCGCAATTCCACGAAAGCAACAGCTGGCACCTAGAAGTAAGTTATAAGATCACAAGTGCGTTTGCTGTAAACCACAGTCTCAGGTCACGGCAAAGGGGCTGAGGGAAGGGCTCATCACTCGGGCACAGAGGTCTGCCCAGCTCCCGTGTGAAAATACAGGCATGGTGGTGAGCGCCCACAATGCCAGTGCCGGGAGGCAGTGTAGACAGGAGAGCGCGGGCTCCCTGGCCGGCCAGCCTCGCTGAACTGGCAAGCTCCGGGGTCAGAGAGGCACCATGTTGAAACTTAGAAAACGGAGGGGCATATGCTTCCTGCACAGCCTGAGGACCGGGCTCCGTCTTAGCTCTGTGTGACAGCCACGTCACAAGCCTGCAGTCCCGACCCCGGGGAGGTGGACACGCTGGCCAGCCAGGCCAGCCAAATAAGAGAGCTGCACGTTCAGTGACACGCCCCGTCCCACAAAGATGGAGAGTGACGGGGCAAAACAAACAGGTGGGCCTGTACATTCCCTGTGTGTGTGCACCTGTTCACACGCGCACACGTACACAGCAATCTTAAAAGGGATTACTGAAAGCCACGTAGCAGAGCTGCTTCTTAACCTAAATGCTGATTCCGCTGTTCCCTTGGCTGGACCGTCCTGTGTGACGGTGAAGCCGTTACACCGGCCCTCGGCTTCGCAGGAGCTTAGCAAGACTGCCAGAGACGCGTCCCCTTCACTGTGAGTTTGTAAGCTCGGATTTTGAACAGCTCACTTCCTCATCCACTCTCGGCTGCATGAGGGATACTGACGCCCAGCTGCAGTGGAAGAGGCCGCCTTTTCTGCTGTTCGGCCCTAGCATCTCCTGGCAGGTCTCCTTCAAGCTTTCTGCTCCGAGGCTCAGGAAGGAAGCACTGGTACAGCTGTCTGTGCCACAAGCTTCCGGCTGGCTGCTTCCCTGTGGCCCCTGAGACCCAGCACTTCTGTGACAAAGCAGCAGGCTGGACCTCCTAAGTCTCTAGTGCCTGAAAGATCACGTCAAGCCAGTGCCGCACGCCCGTGATCCCAGCACTCGGGGAGGCAAAGGCAGGCCGATTGCTGAGAGTTCAGGCCAGCCAAGGCTACACAGAGAAACCCTGTCTCAAAACAAACAAACAAACAAACAAACAAAAAACATCCCTAAAACAAACAAAAAAGCAAAACCAAGAGCAACAAAAAGGAAAGACCCCGCTGAAGAGGCTTTCCTGACAGAATATTGAGTGGTGATGTCTGGTTCCAAGCGTTTCCACCATCCTCCCATGTTGTAGGGTTCATCTCTACACCCCATCCCTAAGACACTCTGAAGGTGTAGTGCAGGTGACAGGGTCTGAAGAGTGGGGGCCGCTGGGGGTGGCAGCACATGCTTTTAAACACAGCACTTGGGAGGCAGACAGGTGGATCTGAGTTCAAGGCCAGCCTGGTCGACACAGTTCTAGGCCTGCCAGGGTTACATCGGGAGGACAGACAATGCCTGTCCCGCTGTCTTCTCCAACTGCCCCTGGCCATGAAGGAATGGATGGGAATGACTGGGTGCAAGCATGCAGCAGGAGTAGCCGCGCTGATGTGGAGCAGGGTTTTTTCTGTGTTTTCCTCGAGATACGGTTTCTCTGTGTAGCCCTGGCTGTCCTGGACTCACTTTATAGACCAGGCTGGCCCCTCTCAGCGATCCACCTGCCTCTGCCTCCCCTGGCGCTGGGCTTACAGGTGTGCACCACCACGACCGGTGATTTTTTCTTTTGTAGACCTGGTCTCCAGTGACCCAGGCTGGCTTCATGCCTGTGGTCCTCGTTACACAGCTGAACTTCTGACCTCCTCCCCTCCAGCCGGGATTGCAGGTGTGTGGGCCGAGAGGTCTGTGCGATGGCGGGGCTGAACTCACACTAGCCAAGCGCTCTTCTGTGCAAACGGCCAAGGACCAATTGGGTTATTTGGTTGGGTTTTGTTGTTTTTCAATGACTCTTTTTGTGCTCTCCAGTGTGTGCAGGTGCACACCTGGTCGGATGGGTGTGTGTGCACAGGTGTTCCTGTGCACGTGGAGGCTGGAGGTCAGCCTCAAGTGTATCCTTTTGGTGTTTTGAGGCAGGGTCTCTCGGTGACCAGGCTAGGGGAGCAGCAAAAACACTCCAGGGACCCTCCACTATGCCCAGCTTACTTCTGTGGGTGTCTAAGCTTCCCAAAGAACCCAGGCCACTATGGGAGTGCCTGGGCCACAGGGAGATCTCGCTAGTGCTGCTCGGGTAGCTGCCACAGACGAAGCCCTGACTCATTCACGCTGGTGATGTTTCTAATCTGGATGTCTGTACATGCATGTTCATGGGTCTGTTTGTTTTAGAAAAATCGTTTCTCCTGCTATTCTGGAAATGCCTAGAAACAAACCCTGAAGATGAACAGAACCCAGTCGTCACGCCACAGAGGAGTCCACCACCGACAGGTGCTCGCACTGCTCAAGGGAGCACATCTGAATTCACCAGCTGGGCTGTGTTCCAGCTGGGATCCCCACACCTGGGAGCAGAGGCAGGAGGAGCATGGGTCAGCCTGGGCTAAGTAAGACCTTGGTCTAACTCCCCCCCCCACCAATAACACAGGATGAGCAAAAACCAAGATTATACTGTCTGGACATGCAGGGGTTAAAGACACAAAAGGGTGACTCCATCCTTTCATGCTTCAATCCCTGCACAGCTCTGCATTTAAAACAAATGATTTGTTGGACAAATTAATTTGCCTTCACCTAGACCTCGCTCTTTGTCAGATAAAACATTAGCTCCTGAGACTACGGATGCAGGACTGAGGGGGCTCTCAGGCCCTGGTGGTAGCCGGCTTCGACGGGTCATCTGCCCAGTCCAACAAAGCAAACGCCAAGGCAGAGCCGGGCTTGGTCCTGACGGGCGTTCCTATTTAAACACTGCACGCTCTCACCTGCTGTTTCCAGACCTTTTGAGGTTTTTGTTGTTTTTTGGTTTTAATAGAGAGAAACATGAAAAAGAGAAATAGCCACTAAAATGAACTTTGTAAAAACATAATGAATTTTGATGATTTTAATAAATATATATCAAGAAAACCTCACTTTGTTACAGCACAGTCATGTACAAGCGCCTATCACCTAAATTTCCAACACCAAAATGTTCATCAAATATTGAAAATAAAGGACAAAACATCACTAACTATTGAGCCATAACACAGGAACATGTTTTAAAAATTGGTCCTTGCGGACAATTGCCCAAACGATCCCCTCATACACTGTATGAGTGAGACCTAGTTCATGTTAACAGCAACAGTTAAAAGGCTTCATCTTGGAGAACGCGCGAGAACTTACCTCTTTCCTCCACTTGGCACTTGGTTCCTGTGAAGAATTGTTTTAAACAGCCCAAGTCACCTAACCAACCTTGGCCGTGGAGGTGGGAAGGATTTCATCAGGGAGAGCTGGGGGCCTGGCCAGAGCACCACTGTGGCCCCTCAGCAATGTGCAATCAAGGTATTGTTGAGGGGGTGTTGGCCAAATACCCAGTAACGAAGACAAGTCCCATTTCTCCAAAATTGCGTCCCGTAACCTGCCACCTTTACATTCTTTAAGGTAAAACGTCTCATCACCACGTCATCTACTAACATTGTGCTTCTCAGTCAACAGCGAAGTCGCATATAGAAACCACATGCTCTTAAGAGTCTAAACGCATGAAATGATGCAAAACAGTCAAAGTATAACGCATGCCACGGCTGTGAACATCACTGGACAAGAAAACAAAACAACCCAAAGCCGGGAAAGCCCGGACCCAGCTCACCGCCATGGCAAAGCCCAGGCCCAGCTCACTGCCATGGCAAAGCCCAAGAACCTTCCCCGTTCCTAATGGCCTTGCTACTGTCTCCTCCATCTCTACTCAAAATATCAGACCCACAGCCACTGGGCGTCAAAAACAAAGGAAAAAGGATGGTGAATCAAAAGCTGAACACACAGTTCAAAGTGAAGCTTCCAAGTCGCATGGAACCACCCTGTGTTTTTTCCTGTTTGTTAAATCCCTGCTGTAACTCTGATTTAGCCTTAATTTTCACATCCGCAAAAATTAAGATCAAGTAAGGCACCCAAGATGGCCCTGCATGCCACCTCCCCAACACCCCATCACCAAGATGGCCCCGCATGCCACCTCCCTACACACCCCATGGAAGACAACACCTCTAGCCACCCACTGTCCACCACAGGCGAGCCAGGAGCTTTCAGGAAGTCTCCACAGACCCCAGACTGCTGTCCTGCCGGGGGGAGGGGGGTTCATCTCATCCCAACCTATCCAACACAGCATGTCCCAGCTCATGAAACCATTTCCTGTAGCGTGCTGTCTTCAGTCTTTTACTCAGGAAGAAAAAATACTGTTACCATACTGAAGCAGACACCTCTGCTGCTTGTATTGATTTGTTTACAGAATAACTAATTAACTGGCAGACATGTCGGCCGTGGCTAGCAGCAGGCTCCTCGGAGGGGCAGTGGGAATAGAACAAGGGCATGTTGCCTGCTGTCTAATCTACCGGTTTAAAAAAAACAAAACAAAACTGAGATATACTTTTCAACATGGAGTTGGCTTTCCTTGGCGAGATCTCATCACTAAGCGGCGTGTGGCTGCCTACGGTACTGATGTTGGTGCCATCTGCTCTCCAGGCCGAGAGACAACATGGCGTTCACTGCAGAGTCTTGTCAGTGGCACAAAACTACAAAATTCATTCAAAACAGGAACCGCTCGTGCTGTGCTGCCTCCGTGGGTCCCTGGGAGGCCTGTCACATCTTACCCCCTCGGCTGCAGCACAGTTTGTTGCTGGGGGAAAGCTCCTTTTTCCTCAAAGACTTTTTCCAAGACTCGTTCGCATGGTTTTTCTCATTATATCCAGTCTCAAAATAATCGTAAAACTGGCCTTTGCCCTCAAAATCAAGGTCATTTCCCACAGGTTCCTGGCTAAGGGCTTCGCCGTCTCTGCTGGTCTCCTGATGTGCTTTCCCATCGCTGTTGAATTTGGCCTTTTCCTGGGCCCCGAGCGACCTAATGTTAGTGACAAAGATCTCATTGGCAGGTATCTGGCTCCTGTAAACAGGTGCACTGCCTACATCGAAGTCCACGTGGTGGGAGCAGCTAGGCAAGGGCAGAGGGGAGGAGGGGGAGGGGGAGGACGGAGAGGAGGCAGATGTGGCCACAGCAGCAGCTGAAGCGCTTCCAACACCAGCACTGGCAGAAAGGGGTAGATTCAGGCAGTGACCGCCACACTCCTGGTACAGGCAGCAAGTGTGGAACTTTTCCCACTCTTCTTTGGCTACCCGGGGCCGTTTTCGGTAGGGACAGTCTTGAGCCAGGAACCACTCTTGGGCAGTGGGGCCGCTGAGGGAGCAGGCGGGGAGGCACCAGCTGTTCTGCACGAGGATCTCGCCATGGATCCTCTTCATCAGGTTGTTGATAAGGACGGACCTCCGAAGGTATACTTCCGGGTCATCTATGAACCTGAGTTTCTCCAAGGACATGTAAAGGATGTGTGCCCGCTCCTCAAAAATGGAGATGGTCTACAAAGGAGACAGGAGAACCCTTAAAGAAGTCTGCACAAACATCATCACCCCCGAGGAGGCTGGCCTCTCTGCCGTGGGCCTGAGCAGCGTCCAGTCACAGAGAAGGGGAAACTGAGACACTGTCAACCCGAGCTGGCGCAGGCCAGATTCCAGTTGACCTGGCCGTCCATGACAAGGGCTGCTCTGGGTACACTCGTGCATTCCACAGCAGTCTCTTTTAAACTTACTGATTTTTAAAACATTATTATTATTGTTATTAATTTGGCTTTTAATACAGCGTCTCTACTGTGTATCCCTGGCTGTCCTGGAACTCATTATATAGACCAGGCTAGCCTTAGACTCACAGAGAACTGCCTGCCTCTGCCACCTGGCCGCTGCGATTAAGGCCTGTGCCACCCCTACTGGCTAAAAATCACTTTTATGTGTGTGAGTGTTTGGGGGCGAGTTTGTCAGCCCCCACCCCTGAGAGGCCAGCAGAGGGCACTGGATTCCCTGGAACTGGAGCTATATTCAGTTGTGAGTTAACCAAATGAGTGCTAGGAACAGGACCAGGGTCTTCCCCAAGGGCAGCCAGTGCTCCTAACCGCTGCACCATCTCCTCTGCCCCGGTACATAAGATGTGTGCAGGTTCTGATGGGCACATTTCAAAGTCAGGGCCATCAAGGGGCACTGGTGGGCCTGCACACCTGCGGGAAGGCAGCTGCAGTCAGTGAGCCTCAGGTCAGGCAGGGCCTGGCAACGGGGCCCCTGTGGGCGGCAGAAAAGAGAGATCAGACAGAAACCGGGGAAGGGTGAGGTGTCCTGGGCTGTGAGGATGGGGTGGGGGGCTGTGTGGGGTGGGGTGGGGGGCTCTGTGGGGTGGGGGGCTGTGTGGGG